CGTATTACCTGTAAGTACAGTATTTAACCCATATGTAGGGTATGTACATTGTGCATCTATTATAATTCATGACAGTCACTGTAATTGGTATATAAATAACAGCAATTTTCAGAGATGAGTTTCATATCCTTGCATACAGGCTACCGTAATGCTTTCCTGCATTATTCATACACACTAAATGCCAAGTAGCAAAAATCCATACTGGGATTAGGAATTTATAAACATTAAAATGAAATATGTCTCTAATAACATATCTCTTTGTTGCCTACTTTATTTCAAGATCTGTTCTTAGGAGGTTCTTACAAATAAGCCTCCTGTTTCCTAAGGAAAGATCATGCAACAATGTCATACTTACGTACTATACATTGCCACATACATGTAAAACATAATTTGCCTATCTGAGCAGACTGAGGCAAAAGGAGAAGTATGATTTCCTATCATCAGATCTACTGCCATCAAAACACCATAATACAAATATTTGACCAACGTGCAGCCACTGTCTCAATGCACAAACTGCTATTCGTCATCTTATACTAATAGGTTAAATGGATACTATCTATGGACTGTATAATATAAGGAGTGGTCCAGAGGTGATCTTTCTATTGGCACATCTAAGACTGAAAAAAGCATTATTGGCCAAAGAAATGGGAATTTGCTAAAGGACAAGCGATTATATATATCTCATAATGACTTTTATCGGTGCGGAAATTCCCCAGACATCTTACATGTAAATTGATGATGTTTCAATAAAATCAGACCACAAAAACCATGCATTTTAGGCTCAAAAAAAGTAGTCGCAAAATATAGAAACACTTTTATCATGTGCGCAATGACCCACCGACATCATGTATGCGAATTGGTGATGTTACAGCATAATTTGCATATTTGACACCGAAAAAGCTTTTTTTTGGCTCAGAAATGAGAAATCGCTAAACGAGAAGCAATTTTCTCCAAAACAGTTTCATCAGGTGCGCAATGACCCACCGACATCATGTATGCGAATTGGTGATGTTACAGCATAATTTGCATATTTGACACCGAAAAAGCTTTTTTTGGCTCAGAAATGAGAAATCGCTAAACGAGAAGCAATTTTCTCCAAAACAGTTTCATCAGGTGCGCAATGACCCACCGACATCATGTATGCGAATTGGTGATGTTACAGCATAATTTGCATATTTGACACCAAAAAAGCTTTTTTTGGCTCAGAAATGAGAAATCGCTAAACGAGAAGCAATTTTCTCCAAAACAGTTTCATCAGGTGCGCAATGACCCACCGACATCATGTATGCGAATTGGTGATGTTACAGCATAATTTGCATATTTGACACCGAAAAAGCTTTTTTTGGCTCAGGAATGAGAAATCGCTAAACGAGAAGCAATTTTCTCCAAAACAGTTTCATCAGGTGCCCAATGACCCACCGACATCGTGTATGAAAATTTGTGATGTTATAGCATAATTTGCACATCTGACATCAAGAAAGCACTTTTGGTTCAAAGATAGGAAAAATTGATAAAATTTTCAATGCAGGGCTATGTTGTAAAAGTTGGCATTATTGGGTTGGTTGGAACATGCCAAGTGTAAAAATATATTTTTTGTTCAGAAATATTGATAGGGAGGCCCCCTGCACAATCTCTTAAAAAAGAAATTTTATTTTGCTGCAGTCCCTCTATAAATCGCTAGGATATCTACATTTAGTTTTAAGATGTTACAACTAATATGAAGGATTGAATTGTGAGGCCATGGTAAGATTAACCAAAACTAAGTGATTATCAGTCAATTTTATTGCGAAATTGGTCTGAATTCTCCCAAATTTTTACTTGCTGCACTTTTGAATAAAGCCGCAAGGGCAATTTTCTAACGAGTTTTTGTCTAATGACTAAAGAACGGTTAGGCATACGGTCAAAGTTACTTTGTTCAGAGGTACATAATATCGTAGGCTATCCGAGTTCAAAATATGGTGTACCTGTGTTGATTGTAGCGTGATCTATTGGGCTTTAAAGTGTTCTTGGTTTGATCAGTTCATTGGCTACAATTGCGCCCCTAGAACTGCACATATATGAAAAGGACAATATCCTCACAAAGGATGAAGGAAGAGCAAACCTATTAACACCACAGGTAGGTCAGTATATCAGCCTGGTATTGTGCAAGTTTTGTCCGGATATATAAGACCCTTGTCAATTTATGATGGGAAACGCACTTTGGTGAGATGCGATCCTAGAGATACGTAATGTTGGGACGATGCCTCGGCTGGGAGTTATAGTTCGCTAAGAATTAAATTCAATGCGTTTCTTTCCAATTTGAGTGACTTACTTTTAAATACTTTCCCAGCCAATGCCTAAATTTCCATGCCGATATCATGGTTCATTTTTGATTTAACTATCTTTAAAGACTTTGGAGATTAACTTCCATAACTACATGTACTTCACGTCATCTCAATTGAATACCGTGAATACCGTGCATCTTCACAAAGGATAAAAAAGAGCAGCTTTATTAACAGCAAAGCTAGGTCAGCACATCAGTCTGGTATTGTGAGGGTTTTGTGCCGATATACAAAACCCTTCTCGTTTTATGAATGAAAACGCACTTCTGTGCGATGCGGTCCTATATATAGAATCGTCTCTGAGAAACGAGGACTCCTTCTTGTCAAGGGAGACCACGGCGCCTCGGAGGCCCTAGCTTGCTTAGAATTCAATGGATTCCTTTCAAATTTTAAGGACTGATTTGTGAACACTTTGATAGCCGATACCCGAATTCCCATATCGGAACCATAATTCATTGTGGAGTTACTATCATTTAACCCTCTGGGAATGAAATTGTAATTCTCTAACAACTTCACATGCGAATTGAAGACCGTGAATACCCAGTATCTTTATATGATATGAATCCAGTATCTTTATATGATATGAATCTTTATTGCATGTTCTTGCGCAGGTGGGCTAAATGCACAAATGTGACCAAATGTGGTCGAGAGGATGAAAAATATGAGTATTGTATACTGGATCGCTATATTCTAATGCTAAGTGCTAGGAGACTATTTATTACAACAATACTATACACTACCTATCATCTACTGTTACTTGCCCTTTCTTCTCTCTTTTTGAAACATCTGGAAACATAATTACATAGTTTGTCTACTGTACATTCGTTCTTGCATGACATCAAAGGTTTAAAAGTGTCC